ATTCCAAGTATATATATATATATATATATATATATATATATATATATATATTCAAAGAATTGGTAATATGGGCATGCATATAAAATAGCAAATGTGACCACGTGATTTCTAAAGTGTCACCTAAATCAAATCTATGAATTATCAACAAACTAACTAACTTTGCTTATGATTATTTTCATTAATTAAATAAATCTCCATAACCATGCTTTATTAATTTAATTATAATTTATTTTTAATTATATAAAAATTCCAATATTTTCTCAAATGGTTTATTTAATTACATTATTTTTCCCCTTTTTTGAAATATTTTATATAAATTCAATTTGAGATTTGTGTTATCATTTAATATACAAACATGTTCCCGAGTAATCGTTTTTATTTATCTGATTATGATCCAGATTTTTCTTTAAGTGTAAGTTTTTTTTATTCATACAAACACAAGAAGTTATAATTATCTACATATAAATATATTTATTTATTTACCACATTGCTTTCTAGATATTTTTTTTGGACAAATTGCATGAAAAAGTAACATAGTTTAACTTGATTCCTATTTTGGATTATGTACTTTTAAAAACCTTAATTTCATTGTACACAATTACCAAACAATTATATTTCATTTTATATTATATCATAAGAGTCTATTAATTATTCTATACTAAACCATTGAGCAATTATGAAACAGCCCTTACATCCTCTCTATACATGTATATGTATATGGAAGGTTGAAATGTGGTTAAAAAACAGTGAAAATTGCCGGAACGCCGGCAAGCCGTCGTTGTCGAGAAGAACAATTTCACCAGAAAAGAGCCGTGTGGTCCGGTATCCGGACAAATTTCCCATTCCAACCCCGATCTGACGTGTCATTACATTGTTCCCCACATGTCCACCCCACGTCCAGACACGATGACATGGCTGGTCCCACCTGTCCCCTCCAGGTCTACACCCAAAACATTTTCATGCAAACCTCCGTCAAAACCCTTCCAAAACAACATTATTCCTTCGGCTACCATTTCCTCTGACGTGGCATCTCTCCACCACCCTATAAAACCCCCCTCCACCCCCCCCCTCCGAAAACACCACACCCTAACCCTACCTATTCAATCTCTCTCTCTCTCTCTCTAGATTCCTGCAACCATGGCCGTCGATTCTGCAACCTCTTCCCCCCTCGGACCTCCGGCGTGTGAGAAAGATTCTAAAGCTCTTCAGTTCATTGAAGAAATGACCAAAAACTGTGACTCCGTTCAAGAGAATGTGTTGTCGGAGATTCTGGCTCAGAATGCCGGCACTGAGTACCTGCAACAATGGTGTCTCAACGGCGCGACTGATCGGAAAACTTTTAAGTCGAAAGTTCCGGTGATCACCTATGAAGACCTTCAACCTTATATCCAACGTATTGCTAATGGCGATCGGTCTCCCATCCTTTCATCTCACCCCATTTCTGAGTTCCTCACAAGGTTGGTATTCTTTTCCTCATAATATACATTCATTTTCCACCCTTCTGCTGCAAGTGTTCTAAACGTTTAGCTAATATGCTTTTTTGTTACTTTTTTGTATGATAGTTCGGGGACGTCCGCGGGTGAAAGAAAACTCATGCCCACCATTGCAGCAGAGATGGATCGCAGACAGAAGCTTTACAGTCTCCTAATGCCTGTTATGAACTTGTATGTAACTAATTAATCATTTTTGTGATTCTTGATCAAAATACTAAATAATTTTCTTTAAATATTGAGAAATTAATGGTGGTTTTAATTTGTTGCAGGTATGTGCCTGGTTTAGATAAAGGAAAAGGTTTGTACTTCTTGTTCATCAAGGCGGAGGCAAAAACCCCAAGTGGGTTGGTGGCCCGACCCGTTCTCACAAGCTACTACAAAAGTCAGCAGTTCAAGACCCGACCCTTTGACCCGTATAATGTCTACACCAGCCCCAATGAAACCATTCTCTGTGTTGACGCTTTCCAAAGTATGTACTCTCAAATGCTATGTGGTCTCGTTTATCGTGAAGAAGTTCTCCGATGTGGTGCTGTTTTTGCCTCCGGTCTCGTTCGAGCCATCAAGTTTCTCCAACTCAACTGGTCACAACTCGCTCTCGATATCGAGTCCGGCGAGTTGAGCTCGAAAATCACCGATCCGGCGATCAGGGAATGTATTTCCAAGATACTGAAACCGATGCCGGAGTTGGCTATGTTCATCAGAGAAGAATGCTGTGAAGGGAACTGGGAAGGTATCATCACTCGGATTTGGCCCAACACCAAGTATCTCGACGTTATTGTCACCGGCGCCATGGCTCAATACATTCCGATCCTCGATTATTACAGTGGGAATTTACCCCAGACTTGTACGATGTACGCTTCGTCGGAGTGTTACTTCGGACTGAACTTAACTCCGATGGTGAAACCCTCGGAGGTGAGTTACACCATCATGCCGAACATGGGTTACTTCGAGTTCATCCCACATGATCCATCGAACCCGGTGACAATCTCACGCGACTCGCCGCCTCATCTTCTTGATCTCGCCGATTTGGAGCTCGGAAAAGAGTACGAGCTCGTAATCTCGACGTACTCGGGTCTCTGCCGGTACCGTGTCGGCGATATTCTCCAGGTCAAAGGGTTTCACAACTCCGCCCCACAGTTCAAATTCATTCGCCGGAAAAACGTTCTACTGAGCATCGAATCTGATAAAACCGACGAAACCGAGCTTCAGACCGCCGTGGAAAACGCGTCGGAGCTTCTAAAAGAATTCAACACCACCGTCGTGGAATACACCAGCTACGGAGACACCAAAACTATTCCCGGCCACTATGTTATCTACTGGGAATTGCTGATGAAAGATCCAACTTTCCGGCCAACTGATGAGGTTTTAGATCAATGTTGTTTGGCAATGGAGGAATCTTTGAACTCGGTTTATCGACAAAGCCGGGTCGCTGATAACTCGATCGGTCCGTTGGAGATTCGAGTGGTGCAAAACGGAACGTTTGAAGAATTAATGGATTACGCGATCTCGAGAGGCGCTTCCATTAACCAGTACAAAGTTCCAAGATGTATCAGTTTCACACCGATCAAGGAACTGCTCGATTCGAGAGTTATCTCGGTGCATTTCAGTCCAACGACACCGCACTGGACTGCTGAACGACGTTTTTAAAATTGAATTAAAAACGTGGTTCGTAAAAGACAAAATTTGGGTATCCACCAACGAAACATGCTCCCTCCTCCTTGGGACTGTAGACCAAAAGAAATCTTGTAGGTTTGAAAAGTGTGTCAACTTTTGAAAATTGAAGGGTGTAACGTGTAATTTTCAGATGGTATGTACGAATAACGTTTTCCGTTTGTCTTATGTTGGGGTTTAGGTGAAACGTCACTGACGGAAAGATTCCATTTGTGGCAAGTGAAGTTCTTTTCCGAAAAGCAGATTTTGTATCGTCTCGAGGAGGATCTACAAATCTAGGGGCTTTAATGTAAACTATTTTATTTTAAAGGGGGGTTTTGTTGGTAATGTATGTTTCTTAATGGGCTTTATTGTAAATTAATTTCATACCATATTGTTGGTGGTTGTATTCTGCGGGCGTTATATGCATGGATTTTTATGCACGTGATCTATGTGATGTCCCGTCAATTCATATCTTTTTTTCTGTTGCTTTTTTTAAATATAAAAATATATTTTATTTTATTTAATAATAAGACGAACATATAAAAAAATTCAATTATTAATTTATGTATTATATAAAAAATGAATTCATGTCACATTATATTAATAAAAAATAATATTGTATTATATGATTACTTGTAATGTTTATTAGTTTATTGTTTTTTTTTTTATAAATTGCAAAAAAAGTAGCATACTTTAACGTGATTCTTATTTTGAGTCACGTACTTTAAAAACTTCCATTTCAATACATAAGATGTAAAGTTTTAAACATTTAAGTATACGGATAACCGCTTGAAGCATTAACCGATTATCACGCTGATGTGGCAAGTGATGTATATCCAATTCAATATTATCTGTTGACATGATCTTCTAATCTAACCGGTTAATGTTTCAACATGTTTATCCGATTAATGCTTCAACCGGTTATCTGGGTACTTAAATGTTTAAAACTTTACATCTTAAGTATCAAAATGAAAGTTTTAATATTATGTTATCTTAAATGGAATCAAGTTAAAATACGTTACCTTTTCATGCAATTTGCTTTTTTTTCATCGTATGATTGTAAGGTAAAGTTTCTTAATAGTTAAATACCATTTACCGTATTTTTACTAGATATATTCATTATATAATGGTGATATGGTAAAATACGTAAACAAATATAGATCAAACGTACTCAATAATGGTTTCTCATATAAAAATTGTTATAAAATCAACAATGACAAATCCAATACGTAAACCGTTATGTGAATACAAACAGATCATTTAACATGTGGTCCAAAGGATTTGCAGTTGTCCTTTGATAAAGAAAATTCATTTGAAAAATAGTCAATGTACAATGTCAAACACATAAAAATGATCAAACGTGCATCTTTTGGCTATTTAGAAAAACAGGGATATCAAACGGGACAAGCGAAACTGTGTGAATAGAATAGGAGAACTGATTTTGGAGAAGGCAAGAGACACGATAGAACTTTTATACCAACAAGAAGATTCTAAGCACACAACTTTCTCAAGGTTGATTTGTGAAATGCAAGCCAAGTAGGGGTGCTCATGGGTTGGGTTGAAGATATTTGATCAACCCAACCCAATGCTTGCGGTTTGAAAAATCTTAACCCAACCCGACCCAAACGAAAGTGCAATCCAACCCAACCCAAAACCGTACGGGTTGGTCGGGTTGATACTTTGATACATTAAAATATTTTTCTTAACCTTGAATATGTTATTTCTCTACTCATAATCTATTTTTCATCATCAACCATTTGATACAACTTATCCATACTTCTTACGTATATCACATTTAGTTAATTTTCTCAATTTACGTATATATGTTTACAATTACTGAACATATATACAAATGAGTTATATAGAGATGTGAATAGATTGAAAAGACATGTATATGAAGAGTGTACGTGATAGTTTTATTGTCTAATGCATATATTAATAGAAATTCAACAATCATATTAAATCCAAGAAATAAAATAATATCGGGTTCATCGGGTTGGTTAAGTTCAAATAATAGTAACCCACTATCAACCCAATACCTACGGTTTGAAAATTTTACAACTCAATTAGACATCGAGTTGCTTCAGGTTGAGTTATTTCGCGTTGGGTTGGATTCATCGGGTTGGTTGGGTTTTTGAGCACCCCTAAAGCCAAGGCATAATCGCAATCTTGCGGGTGAATAAGATAATGTTTATCGATGAAGTTGAAGATGATACTGTACATTTGAACTGCTTATGGATAAGGAAGTATTTATTGCGTATAGAACACTTTAGTGTTTTTTTTGGTGTAGTTCGAGAACAAAACACTAGAACTTTTGAATGAAGTCGGAAAAGTTTACATAGATGACTCCAACTGAAATTTCCTAAAACATAATCTTATCAAACATAACAATTCCAATACCTTAATAACTTACGGAAAAACTAAACGTTGCAACTTTATTTAACATGAAGCATAAAAACCTGACCGATAATCACATAAATACAAAATCAGTTACGTCTTCTCATATACCATAGAAAACTACTTTAATATAAAAGACACAGGGCGGGACCTACTTTACCATCATATGCTTAACCATAACTTTTTTCAATGGTAACACGCATCCAAGTTGAAATATGTTGATTTGTCAGTCACACACACATGTGTTGTGTAGGAGGTTCTTTTAGAACCTAAAATTGATTAGGCACCACCGGATATTCCACATTGCGACTTGTGGTATATTCATTAGAAATATGAATGGGTAATTCATCATGAATGTGTTATTCATGATGAATATTACTTTAAAAAGGGACACATTGGCGTGATGTGGATGGTTTTCGGGCTATTAATCAATTTGGGTTTCTACCGAAACCTTATATATATACACGCATACACATCTTTACTATATTATAAAACATTTAACAAAAACTCTTAAAACCACTTTTTATGCATTAAGTAATGTTTATTAATGCATATTACTTAAAATTCAAGATTACACGTAAATTATGCGTAAGTACAATTTATTAAAGCTCAATGTTTGAATTCATGTAACTAACTACAGATAAAAATAATCAAATAGAGGATAAACATTTCATTTTAAATATAAAAAATCTAAAATATAATTAAGATAATCATTAATAAAATACTTAATTATATCTTCATAAAAAAGTATATTATTAAACAAAAAATAAAAAAAAGCGAATTAAAAAAATAACACAAAAAAAGAGAAACTTTAAATTGTTAATTTGGTACTAATATCAATATATATATTTTTTTTCAAATTATTACCATGTCTTCGTATTTATATTTTATTCAAAAATAAAAGTATTATAGTTTTCTCAAAACCATATAAAATCATATTATAACATTGACCAGGACAAAAAATACAGAACAATAAAATCGAGATGTATCTATTTACATTGTACGAGTACTCTTGTAATACATATAAGTGAATGAAAATATACAAACGTACAAGGGAACCTTTTTGCATGTCTAGTTGTTTTCGATTTCAACTTTAACACCGAATGCGATTGCTCACTTGTCTTTCACTTTCTAAGTAAAGTTGGATGCCCTTTGCCCTCATGTTGTCACCACTATATTTTTGGTTTTTTCGAAAAAATATATCGTAAACAATATATATATATATATATATATATATATGCATCATAGTATGATAATTTTTATAGTATTTTGTTATAAAGTTTCAAATGTAAAAATATGATCTTATGGCTCTTGCAAAAACATGTCGGTCTTACGTGAACCAACCCTATATATATATATATATATATATATATATATATATATACATGGGATCATGTGAGACCAAGGGTTTTTCATGAGACTCGTAAGACCAATTCTCAATCCTTAGATTAAATCTACAATCTGAACATTCATAATCACAAAATTGCCACGAGACTTCTCAATAATCACAAAATTGTCACAATGCAACTTTAGACCATTATATCAATTGCTTATAAAGTTAATCATTAAACATAATTTGGTCTTACGAGTCTCACGAAAAAACTTTTGTCTCACATGAACTCAACCCCTATATATATATATATATGATTTTTTTTTATATGATAACTTTTTGTAAAATATTAAAATATGTAATGAACTTTAATTACCTCTCAAGTCAAACCTAATTATTGATAATTAAAAATAAAATATTATTTTATTGGAAAAAAACCTTAAAAATAAAATGAAATTTCATATTAATTATAACCAAAATAAAATTAATTTGAACTTTGAACTCGCACTTTGAAACAAAGCAGACCTTTTACTTTATAATGTCTAAGGCTAAAGAAACCTTTATTTAAAGGAATTAAAGAATTTAAACTATTTGTTTGCTTAAATAAATAATTTAAATTTATAATATATTTCAATTATCAGTCAGATATTCTTTTTATTATTCTATAGCAGTTTCAGAGGACAATGTTGTCCTGATGCATTTTACTTCTATCATGACTTAATACCCGTATCATAAATTCTAACAAGCTTAATAATCCCTGATTAAAACTTTCTCATGTCATGTTTAGTAGCCATAATCCTGTTTACAAATTGTCTTTTTTTTATAAACCTGGATATCCAACCCGCTATAAAAACTGATTAATCTCAGAACGACAATCTGTTTCGTGGGTAGTTTGGAGTCACCGCATCTGAACCTGTAGCCACAAGGGGATTTTTATTCTTCATTGGATTCGAACCTGGGACCTTCCAGACATTTTTGATATTTTAGAGTCCAAACTCAAACCAATCGGACACGACCCTTGTGGTTAACTGTCTTTATATTTTAATTAATTATACTCTTTATATTTTTCCAATAAAATTATAAAAAATTACTCTTCTTTGAAGGCATCTAAATTTTATTAAGCAAAACAGTTAGATGAGGTGGCGACAGGTCACTACAAGGTTTAGAGGCCAAAGGCAATAAGAACAAAACCGAAGCAGATGAAATGCCAAAAACAAAGACACTAGAAACAGTACGAAACACAACAGTACTCTAACTTATCAGCTTGTTTTATTAAGCACATCATTAATATATCAGTTAGTTTGTTAAGCACAATCTTAAAAGAATAAGAAAATAAGACATCTACTTTTAAAAAAATGACTGTAAAAAATAAATAATGAATGGGTAAATAATTTAGAAAGAAAGGAAAAAGACAAGAAAGCTTTAGGATGAAAAAGAAGACTGGAATGCAAAAAAGATTAGAGCAAATTGTATGCTCTTTCTGCGAATGGTCGGCCTTACTTTTATTATTTACAGTTGGTAATTATAAAATCCCTTTTTTTTTACTGTTTACCCTAAATTTATGTTTAAGTTTAATTTATTTGATTATTTATGCATAAAAAGTGTTATATATTTGAAACGAAAAAAATTCCAAATATCTGAAAATTTTATTTTATTAAAGATGTTGTTAGATTTTTGAAAAATTATTGATATTTGAT